ATCTGTCATTCCAAATTATCTGTAGTCATCTCTTAAATCCTGAATTAACAGCAGTACTGCAGTAGAGAACAGCCTCTGCAGGATTTTTTTTTTCCCCTGTGAAAGAAGCCTTATTTTCTCTTTACAGAAAAGCAGATGTCCACTGGTATCTATCAGATATGCTAGATAGTCCTCTTCTGATTGTTTTTGATTTACACTTCCTCCTTTTACATAGCTGCAAATATAATAATCAAATGGAAAGTTGAGGCTAAATCAAAAACATTCACCTTCTAGCGAGACTGAAGTCTGGAGGGTTGGTTCCTCGAACTTTGAGTGGCAAGGGAGTTCTTCAGTTACCGGGGATGGGCATGTTCTTGTACGTGAAAAAGCTTGGCACTTCCCCATTTCTTCTACTGCCTCTTGCTGACCTTGCCTTGATACTAGACACCTTGAGGAAGTTATGAAAGTCTGAATGTTCAGAGACTGATATCATGGAGTCTATTTCTAACTAAATTTTTCTACCTTGCTACTGCTTCTAGAACCATTTGAAGTAAAATCGGGCGTGTTCAGGCCTTCCATCTTCATGAACAGAATTAGAGGCATATTTTTGCATAGTCTTCTACAGTTGTGGGTTTTTTTTTAACTATTACTATATTTTATTTTTTATCTTGTAATACTGTAAACTTTTCACCATTCCTGAGAATTTGTCTACAGCCTCCCTGCAGGAGACAAGCAATTCAGCAACTAGGTAATATAGACTGAAGACATTTCAACCCAAATGGATGGTGAGGTGAAGGATAGTAATGTTATTTCATTCAGAAAAACATCAGTGATTTGGGAGTGTTACTGTATTTGAGTATGTTAATGCTTTCCAGGCTCTCTGCTACCTCTTGGTGACCTTGCTTTGATGCTGGAGGTCTGAAGTTGCTCTTACCACAGTAATTGATTACTTGCAAGTAGCCAGAATGATTAATGTCACATTCATCTATGTGTGTTAGAGAAGGGGACTCAGGAAAGTGACTTGTAGTGCTGCTGTATGTGATTGATATGCTCTGTGGCATCCTTGCAGTGCTTGTTCTTGCAGGTGGTGGCACCTCGTTTGCCTTCCAGTATATCCCAGTGAGTGTTTTGTCTTTACAGTTAGTGCTAGTTCAGAGCATCAATAGTAGACCAAAAATGTTTGCTTGCTTTTTTTGGATGGCTGTTCCAGCTATTCTGATACTATTCCAGTGTCACCTGCTGTCTCTGTACACAAAGTCCCATGTGCCTTCATGAAAGATTATGGAATTAATCCAGTCAGAGAAAGTGTTCAGTACTTAACAGAATTTTTGCTTTATTTTCAGGTTATCTGTAACATTTCTAGAAGAGACAATAAAATTAACATTCTTAAACAGAATATGATAAACAGTTGTCAAAGCTTTAAGGTATTTTTACTATACTTTGATGCAAAGTTCTTACTGTTAGTCAGCAAGATATTTGATTGGGGTGATGACGAATGTACCAGATGAACACCAAGAAAAAGGAAAGGGAGTAAATGAAGTTTTCCTGTGTTTCATTGAATGATTGTGCAAACTTGATGAAGATACAGTCCAACATAGGTATCTTCAGCGGTTCAAAAAGCAAAAATTTAGCTAAAATATAGTGGGATTACTAAGGAAGTATAAAACCAGCCTTCTTCTTTGAGGCTTTTAGAGTGTACATTTTTGAACAGTTTTCTCATGATACATAGGATTGTGAGTCACTCTTCTATAAAAAGAGAGAGAACACAAGCAGAAGGAAATGGGACATGCATTTTTAAAGACTGCTGCTGCCTTCCTTTTTGTTTATATGTCAGCTGAATTTTCATGTAATGACAATTCCTGTAGTTGTGGTCTTAAAACAGATACTAAATATTGCAAAGATTGTGATGAACTGTGGCAGCTGAGTTTTGTATTTAGATTTTAAAAAAGGTATATAATTTTCAAATTTCTTGTGGTATGTAGCGAATGGAGAAGCAGAAGAATCAGCTGAATCTGTTTACAGAGTATTCAGGACGGTGTACTTCTCATTGATAGTTACATGGGAGATGCTCTTCGGCTTCAGATTTGATTTGCTCATTGGCGCGCTTTGAATGCTGAACTGTTCAGTATATTGTTTTGACAGCATGTACTGACACTTACTGGAGTGTGCCAGCAGTTTTGGCTCTAGGCTGCTGGGGAAAAGACTGCTAGTAGCTGGGTCATTTCAAAGCTTCAGTGTTTAAGCTGTCATTATGCTTTTGATATGAAATGGGTTACCTGAATGGAGTAATGTTCAAGTTCTCGTGGTACTAGAATGCGTTGAATGTAAATACCTAATTTCAGTGTAAATGTTCAATGCTGTAGTCTTGCTTCTCTATAATAAAGTCACCAATTTTGTCAGTGTCAATGAACTTTTCAGAGAAAGAACTTTGCCAGGATTCAGATTCTACCAGCAAATAGGGATTACTTTTTTTTTTTCCTTCCTTGAGAACTTGCTGCAAAAGCACTGCTTCTCCAATTAACCTCTAGTGTTTCAGCTTCTAAGAAAATGTACTTCATTTTGACTTTAAAATCCTGTGATTTACAGCACTGTAGATGCTTTGTCATGACTGTTACAAAGATCTTCAAGTTTAATCCCACTATGTTTTAGCTGCGAAAAAATGTGCACCAGGAAAACATTACATCTCTGAAGTGCTCTTTGACTCGTTTCTATTTTAAAACAAAAACATTTCTACAAAGCGTACAAACTACCAAAATGTAGTTTTCTGATTCTGTACCTGAATCCCACTTCTTATGCATGAATTTAGCCAGAGATGGCAAGGTGGCACTGATCCAGACAATAAATCCTGTTGAACCAAGCTAACTTTGCATAGAACCAGAAATCAGGAATTGTGATACCAATAAAAGAACAGGAAAAAATATCAGGACAACAAGTTCCAGTCATAGGCCATGACTGAGAGCAGCCCTGAGGAGAAGGACTTGCAGGTGCTGGTGGTTGAGAAGCTCAACATGACCTGGCAGTGTGCATTCACAGCTCAGAAGGACAACCATATCCTGGGCTGCATCAAAAGAAGTGTGGCCAGCAGGGTGAGGGAGGGGATTTTTCCCCTCTGCTCTGCTCTGGTGAGACCTCACCTGGAGTCCTGCGTCCAGCTCTGGAGCCTTCAGCACAAGAAGGACATGGACCTGTTGGAGCAGGGACAGAGGAGGCCACAAAAATGATCCGAGGGCTGGAACACCTCTGCTATGAGGAAAGGCTGAGAGTATGTTGATAGCACTGATAGTTTTGGTTGTTGCTAAGAAATCAAGGAATTTTTGGCCATGTTCAGCTAATGAGCAGGTATGCAGGACCTGGGAGGGAGCACAGCCACGCAGCCAGCCTAAGCTGGCCAGTGGAAATATTCCATACTGTAGATGTCATGTTCATTTGATGAATGAAGGTTGGCCGGGAGGCAAGAATCCTTTTTTTCCTTTTCTTTTCCATGAGTTCGAATCATCTCTTGTCACAGAAGCACAGAATAACAGAATGGTAGGGCTTGAAAGGGTCCTCTGGAGATCATCTAGTCCAACCCCACTGCCAAAGCAGGGTCACCTAGAGCAGGCTGCACAGGACCCTGTCCAGGCAGGTCTTGAATATCTCCAGAGAAGAAGACTCCACAACTCCTCTGGGCAACCTGTTCCAGTGCTCTGTCACCCTCAAACTAAGGGAGTTCTTCCTCATGTTCAGACAGAACTTATGCTTCAGTTTGTGCCCGTTGCCCCTTGTCCTGTCACTGGACACCACTGAAAAGAGTCTGGCCCCATCCTCCTGACACCCACCCTGAAGAGATTTGTAAGCATTTATTAGGTCGCCTCTCAGCCTTCTCTTCTTCAGGCTGAACAAGTCCAGCTCCCTCAGCCTTTCCTCGTAGGAGAGATGCTCCAGGCCCCTCACCATCCTCATAGCCCTCTGCTGGACTCTCTCCAGTAGTTCCTGATCTTTCTTGAAGTGGGGAGCCCAGCACTGGACAGAGTACTCCAGATGGGGCCTCACTAGGGCTGAGTTGAGGGGGAGAAGAACCTCCCTTGACCTGCTGGCCACACTCTTCTTAGTGCACCCCAGGATCCCATTGGCCTTCTTGGCAGCCAGGGCACACTGCTGGCTCATGGTTAACTTGCCATCCGCCAGGACACCCAGGTCCCTCTCCACAGAGGTGCTTTCCAGCAGGTCAGCCACAAACCTGTACTGGTACATGGAGTCTGGGAGTTTGGTCTGTTTTGGAAGTTGAAATTCATGAAATCCCTGAGTTCCGGGTTCTGCGATTGCTGCTCGGGGACTGGCTGCGAATCTGTCATCGGGTGATAAGAAAGTTGTATTGTGTATAGCTTATTTTGCATATTCATTATTATTAGTAGTAGTAGTATTTTCTTTGTTATCTTATTAAACTGTCTTTATCTCAACCCACGAGTTGCCACTTTTGTCCATTTCTCATCCCCATCTCGCTTGGGGGGAAGGGGAGTGATGGGTGAGCGGCTGTTTGGTGCTTAGTTGCTGGCTGCTGGGTTAAACTGTGACAGGGGGGTAGCAGTCAGTTATATGCTTTTTGCAGAAAAAAAAGAAAAGAAGAAAACAAGAAAAAAATCCATGATATCTTCTATAAATTGACAGCACATACACTTTGTAATTTAATTGAAATTAAACTTTTATAAGGAAAAATGCTTGAATAATTTTGTATAACCTGTTTCCTGTAATTAGGATCAAAGCTTTTGGGGGGGATGAGGGGTAATGGTATATACTGTGGACTCATTTTTAAAGAAATTTGATTCTTGTTTCCTTTTTATGATTTTTTTTAAAATGGCATTCTCTATTCAGTGATAAATTATTACTCGAATTTTTTGTGTCAGCCGGTAGTTGAGATAATTTGGTATCTCATTACGATTTTGTAGACTAAGCATATTGTGCTAAAAACTTGAGATATAATTATTTTTCAGCTTGAAAAATAAATCTTGCATATATTCTGATTAACATTTTGAAAATATTATTCCAGCTGCGTTGGGGTAGAGGAGCACCATGCTGTTGACATTGATCTGTACCATTGTCCCAACTGTGCAATTCTCCATGGACCTTCTCTAAGTAAGTGTGGGTTATTCAAATGTTATTTTATTCTTTCAGTATGTTTTCTCTCCATGAAAAAGGCTGTTCAGAAGAGTGTTGAAGATGAGTTTTGTTATTTAGAAGGTACTGGTTCTATATGACTAACTCTGAGCTGATAAAAAAGAGCACAAAACAAACCATTCTGAAAGATTCCTTGATCTGGAGATGCAGATAGAATAAAATATAACCCACTGCTATATTTTAGAGAAATCAAAGTGCTCAGAGCTAGAAGAAAACAATATGGTCTTGACAGAGAGTGAGAGAATGAAAATCAGGGAATCATCGTTTTTAAAAAAAATAAAAAAAAGAAAATCAAAAAGATGGCTTATGGTTCCTGTATTTTAATCACCTAGGAAAGCGACATTAAGAAGGCGTAGGATTTAGCTGTCTTACCTTTCTTGATGATTGTAAGCTGTATGCCACAACAGTCCACTGAAATCTGGGAATATGAACTTCTGGTGTTTTTGTTCTGGTTGGTTTGTTTGTTTCTGTTTATGTCCTTGAGAGTTACACAGCTCTGAATTTGAGGTTTCTGATTTATAAACAAGTTTCCACCAAGTTCCTCGTGCAATTTTATGAGTTGCCAGAAGAGACTGTGAAACAGAGCAGCAAGAGAGTTCTCTTCTTTGGTTCTCCTTTCAGTACATAAATTTGCTGTAGAGATCTGCAGTGGAAAGATGGAACAGTTTTTGTCTCTCTGTAACTATTGAGAGGATACTGCTTTATCCAGCTCTCTAGAGTTTTCCCTAGGACTTCTGTTCTCAGAAGGAAACAATGTAAAAATGAATTTCACATTTCCAACAATGAGTGAAGGTTCTGTGTTCAGACCTGAGAAATGTTTGTATATGCTATGTGTCTTTAACCTCTAAACACTGAATCATGGTCATTTGTGTCTTTCTAATGTGTGGTTTGTTTGGTTTTTTTTGCTTGAAGACCACATAATGATTTATAGTCATCAGTGACTTAAGATGTAGAATCATTTCAAAATTGAATTTACTTTACCGTTTAGAAGTAAGTTTAAAATCACTAGTAGTCTTGTGGAGTATGAACAAAGTGATAAAGTGTCACTTACTGATGCAATTAATATATGTTGCGTGATACGTATCCTGTATAGTGTAAGAGTTCAGGGTTAGCTACTTGGGCTAAAATTTAAGATAAAAGCTGTTTTACATGCTTGTAGTTCGTACTGTTCCAGTTGTCATTTTTAGTTAAAAGTCTGTATGTCTCTCCTGTAAATCTGAATACAAATAACAGCCATTTCTTCCCCACCTTTCTTCCTGGTTTTTCTGTGGAATAGAGCAACTAGGAGGAGGAGTAGAATCACACAGAATCACAGAACGTTAGGGGTTGCAAGGGTCTTCTGGAGATCATCTAGTCCAGCCCCACTGCCAAAGCAGGGTCACCTAGAGCAGGCTGCACAGGACCCTGTCCAGGGGGGTTTGAATGTCTCCAGAGAAGCAGACTCCACAACTCCTCTGGGCAACCTGTTCCAGTGCTCTGTCACCCTCAAAGTAAGGGAGTTCTTCCTCATGTTCAGATGGAATTTCCTGTGGTTCAGTTTGTGCCCATTGCACTTGTCCTGTCGCTGGGCATCACTGCAAAGAGTCTGGCCGCATCCTCCTGACACCCACCCTGAAGAGATTTGTAAGCATTTATAAGGTCCCCTCTCAGCCTTCTCTTCTTCAGGCTGAACAAGCCCAGCTCCCTCAGCTTTTCCTCGCAGGAGAGATGCTCCAGTCCCTTCATCATCCTCG